CTGCCCAACACTTTCTGTCCCGGTAGGAAGAGGGAAAAACCCATCTGGCAATGAATATTTAATCCTTCCCCACCCTATAAAAAATGGCTGGAGTAGGACTATAATGAAAATAAATGTGCCTCAATGTTTGAAAAACCAGGCCAAAATCCCACTGAGCTTTGCCAGAATGTATTGAATATGGATGTACATGTCCCTCACGCACTTAGGTCCGCTGACTTACATTTTGACATCTTTTGGCATGCATTTTAGCATGCAATAATGTGTGCTGCATTTTCAAAGGATATCCTGTGCATTGCGTTGACATCCGCTTACATCATTGTATTGCACTAAGTGCACTTGTGCTAAAACGTATAGAAAATAGATGTACATTTCCATCCATTTTAGTCATGAGCTGAAATTCGTTGACATACATTTTGATGTCCATTGACATACATTTTTGACATCTGTTGACATACATTTTGATGTCCATTAACATACATTTTTGACATTCGTTGACATACATTTTGATGTTCATTGACATACATTTTTGCATCCGTTGACATACATTTTGATGTCCATTAACATACATTTTTGACATCCGTTGACATACATTTTGATGTTCATTGACATACATTTTGATGTCCATTGACATACATTTTTGCATCCGTTGACATGTATTTTAGCATGCATTACAGCGTACTGCATTTTCACAGGATATCCTCTGCATTGTTTTGATATCTGCTTACATCCGTTGCATTGTGCTAAAATGCATAGCAGTTGCATTTTAGCACAACGCAGGTCAGCGCAATATTATTGTGTGAATAGGACACATTGGAAATTATTGTTTTCAGATGTCCTTTCGTTGATCTGCGTTTGACAGCTGCGCTAAAATGCAGATCAACACACTGGATTGAATTGGTCCTAAATCTATACAGTATATAGTTTTCTTTAAGTAACTGAAATTATTTTCTCTGCAGTTATTCATTATTTAGAAAGTTATGTGATGGAGAATCTATGATCTACAGTCAGGTCCATAAATATTGGGACATCGACACAATTCTAAAAATTTTTGGCTCTATACACCACCACAATGGATTTGAAATAAAATGAACAAGATGTGCTTTAACTGCAGACTGTCAGTTTTAATTTGAGGGTATTTACATCCAAATCAGGTGAACGGTGTAGAAATTACAACAGTTTGCATATGTGCCTCCCATTTGTTAAGGGACCAAAAGTAATGGGACAGAATAATAATCATAAATCAAACTTTCACTTTTTAATACTCGGTTGCAAATCCTTTGCAGTCAATTACAGCCTAAAGTCTGGAACGCATAGACATCACCAGACGCTGGGTTTCATCCCTGGTGATGCTCTGCCAGGACTCTACTACAACTGTCTTCAGTTCCTGCTTGTTCTTGGGGCATTTTCCCTTCAGTTTTGTCTTCAGCAAGTGAAATGCATGCTCAATCGGATTCAGGTCAGGTGATTGACTTGGCCATTGCATAACATTCCACTTCTTTCCCTTAAAAAACTCTTTGGTTGCTTTTGCAGTATGCTTTGGGTCATTGTCCATCTGCACTGTGAAGCGGCGTCCAATGAGTTCTGAAGAATTTGGCTGAATATGAGCAGATAATATTGCCCGAAACATTTCAGAATTCATCCTGCTGCTTTTGTCAGCAGTCACATCATCAATAAATACAAGAGAACCAGGTCCATTGGCAGCCATACATGCCCACACCATGACACTACCACCACCATGCTTCACTGATGAGGTGGTATGCTGAGGATCATGAGCAGTTCCTTTCCTTCTCCATACTCTTCTCTTCCCATCACTCTGGTACAAGTTGATATTGGTCTCATCTGTCCATAGGATGTTGTTCCAGAACTGTGAAGGCTTTTTTAGATGTTGTTTGGCAAACTCTAATCTGGCCTTCCTGTTTTTGAGGCTCACCAATGGTTTACATCTTGTTGTGAACCCTCTGTATTCACTCTGGTGAAGTCTTCTCTTGATTGTTGACTTTTACACCTACCTCCTGGAGAGTGTTCTTGATCTGGCCAATTGTTGTGAAGGGTGTTTTCTTCACCAGGGAAAGAATTCTTTGGTCATCCACCACAGTTGTTTTCCGTGGTCTTCTGGGTCTTTTGGTGTTGGTGAGCTCACCGGTGCGTTCCTTCTTTTTAAGAATGTTCCTAACAGTTGTTTTGGCCACGCCTAACGTTTTTGCTATCTCTCTGATGGGTTTGTTTTGTTTTTTCAGCCTAATAATGGCTTGCTTCACTGATAGTGACAGCTCTTTGGATCTCATCTTGAGTACATCCAGGTGAATTATACCTTGTGTTTTTCAGGACAAATTGGGCTTTCATTTGGTGGTAAATGGTAATGGATATCTCCTGATTTTTTTTTATTATCAAAGGAAAACTGGCCCAAAATAGTAAAACAAAATATTTTTTTTATTTAGCTGTGTTTTTCTTGTTACTACCATAACCTACCACCAAAAAACAACCCAAAATAAATTCTTCAGCTCTTGACGATCACAGCGATACCATATATGTACATGTTATTTGTTGTTTGAACCTGTGGTACAGCCCAGAAACAATAGTGCACATTTTGCTTTTGTCTTTTTTTTACTTAAAACACACTGACACTGACACTAACTGACACTGATACCATTTGTTTTTAATCCTGACCTTTGAACCTGACCTTTTGACCTCTGACCATGACCTTGACCTTGACCTAAACAATAACCCTAGCACTGACTAGATCAAACCTTGATCTAGGTATTTTTTCTTTATTTTTTTATTTTATTTTTTTAATATTTTTTTCTCTCTATGCCAGGAGTTAGAGAGATACAATGTATCCCTCTTCTCCATTCATAGAGAGAGAAAAAAACAAGGGGGCCGGGCTGCACAGTGACTGATCACTGTGATAGCCAATCAGAGGCTATCACAGCGATCATGTGACCCGGAATCATTAGAACGGGACCCGAGGCTCTCAGTGACACTGCGGTCTTTGTGCTGGGAGTGCGCAGTGCGGTGCGGTGCGATCTGATATCTCTAGTAAGAGGCTGTGTTCGGTGTTGGAACACACGAGTGATCAAGTGTGATTTCCAGGCATGACTTCTTCACCTGTGGATAGACTTTGTTTCTATTGTAGAGTTTTTTCATTTACCGGTAAATTATTATATTTGTTTGTGATTGCAATGCATTTTTATTCACTGATTGGTTCACCATTATACATTTATTGAGACTTTATGTATTTTGGTTATTTATACTTGTGTTGGTTCCTTTACAGTATATTAAAAAGGAAGCACTAGAGGTTTTATGCACTGTATAATAAACATGTATTGGTGAATAAAGAAAAGATCAGTTGTTAGGCAGAGGCAGGATAGGCTTCTCTGAAGTTTTGAGTTTTCAGACATTTCCTAAAGGTAGACAGAGAAGACAGCTGGAAAGGTTGGAGTAGGGAGTTCCAGAGAATGGGAGAGGCTGTGGAGGAAAGCATGGGAGTATGTGACAAGGGAGCTAGAGAGCAGGAGGTCTTGGGAGGAGCAGAGAGGATGGTTTGGGTAATATTTTGAGAAAAGGTTGGCGATGTAGCTCAGAGTTGCATAGCTTTGTATGTTGTTGTTAGTATTTTTAATTCTATTTATTGGGTGAGCAGAAGCTAGTGGAGAAAATGGCAAATGGGTGACCCTTAACCATTGATAAGGTGTATGAATTTGGAAGCAGCATCCATAATAGACTGCTAAGGGAATAGTCTGTGTAAGGTAGGCAAATGAGGAGGAAGTTGCAAGAGTAAAAGATGAGAGATAACAAGTAAGTGATTTAGGATCTTTGTGGTTTCATTGGTTAAGAATAGTCTACAGGATAGCTCAAAGCCCAGTTCAGTGGACATTAGAATCATATATATTTTCATGTTTAGCTTGGGCATGCTAAGTAATGTGTAAGTGGGGCATATATTATCTCTCAGAGCGATTGCAGTAATCCCCCTGGCCTGCCCGCAGCTGCTTTTCTATTCAGAGGAAAGAAACCATCTTTTTTCAGGCATTATTCATTGTCAGCGCTACTTTCTTGTCTGTGATGCTGATTTTGATTTATACATGTATTCTACATTCTGATTTCCACAGCCTCTCACCATGTGACATACTACAAAGGTACAATTTTACAGTGTGATCACTGACTGAATGTGGCAGTCTTATATCATCTCAATCTGTGCACAAACCTGTGGGACTATTATTTATTTGTTAATAGGTTAAATATTTTAAAAAATAATTATGTTTCTGTGCATTGTGATGTCATGAATTTATACCTGTAAACTTTTAAGGAAACTGAAAGGTTCACTTTAAACTTTTTCAAAGAGCTGACTGGTAGAGGTTCTCAGTGGGCAACCATCACCAGTCAGCAGTAGAGGTTATTCCCAAAGTGTGAAATGCATTGTTGTATAAACATTAACCAGTTTTATGTACAATGTAATCACCGGATATTAAACTGGCTTTTCATTCAAGGCTAGCAGTCTATGTGGTATGAGCAACTACATCAGAAAACTTTTTTTTTGTTTCATACCAGAAGCTTAATTGGCTAGAGACAATTTTTTTTGTCAAATAATGTAGTTCAAACAAGCAAAGATTACAGTGATAAATTCCAAATAAGCATTCAAATAAATACTGGATGAACATTATTAAATACATATCTTGCCAAAAATATCTATTTATTTAAAGTGCACATGACAATATACTCAGTGGATGTCAGCATACACATTGAATTTACACATCAAATATTTCATGGTCCATGCAAATATCAGAATGTAATATGATGTACACATTTATGAAATTATAATTTTGCACAATATTTTGCCAATATTTACATTCACCATGAAATAACATTACTACTCCTTATGACCCTTTTTTTATTATACAGATTGTTTCATTTAATGCTTTAGTATAAAGTGAAAAAAAATATATATAAATAACATTGGTAATCTTACAATGATATAAGTAGATGTATGTTATTCTTTCCAACAGAGATACTGAATATAAAGGACTTCAACTGTCTTTGGATCAAGTTACAACAAAACCATCATATTCTTATGCAAATTCAAATCCAGCCATAAATGACAGCAGGAAGAGCAGTAAGTCACGTCTTCCTAGTGCCAAGTCTAAATCCAGGACATCACCATACCCACAGGTAAGGGTCACTGGAATGCAATTCACATTTTTCTTTTCAAATATACCAAGCTGGAAGCAATTAGGTGTGGGTAGGTAGTTTTTTTTGTTATAATTTAAAAGACACCTGCTAGTTTATACTTGGGGTAAAACTGTCAGCAACAGGCAGTACATTGCCATTCACAAACATATATTTTAAAATGTACAAAAGCAGCACCCACAACAGCTCTTTTGGGTACAACGTATTACAATTTTAGTTTAAGAAAACCCTATTAGCAGGTTCTTTTGGCCTAGGTTACTGCTAGTTATTGTAAGCAGTGAGGTATCCAGGGTATGGCATGTATGCCACCTGCCCTGAGCACCACTTGAAGATGGGCCCTGCACAGGGGTGGACCCAGGTGTGCTTGGATATGCTATGACACCCCCCAAAACTCTGCTAACACCCCCAAATCACCATCCATCATATTAGCAGATGAAAGCACACTATATCCCTGATTTTCCAGATTCTTCTAGGACTCAGTGGTGCTGTACAGTGTCATGTATTTCCAAAGTGCAGGTCATCCCACTGGCACCATGGAATCGCATGATGCTGTTTCCTTGTGGCAGAATCCAGAACCATCCCCAGCATTCAGAAGAGGATAGAAGTTTTCCTCCATCCAGACCTGCTCTGCATCCCTTCCTCTGCCATGCTGCCACAGCTGTACTAATCATAAGGTAGGGCAGTGATGTGAGGGGGCTCTGAGGAATCTGATGTCAGGGTGCTCTGATTATTCCAATCTAGTGGGGGGCCTCTGATGTAAAGGGGTGCTCCTGGTGTGAGGAAGAGACTCAGATGTAAAAAGGGTAGTCCTGATGTAAACCATTAAAGTTAAGAGGGGATTCTGTTGTGAAGGGCAACTGGCTAGAGCCTGGAGTGACTGCATTGTTACACAGTGCAGATGTGGACTAGACTGCACTTATGGAAATATTGTAAATAATTGGAAGTATTGTAAATAATATAATAATGAGTTTTGACAGGTGAACAATTTCAGTGAACTGTACTCAATGACTGCTTTTGTTAAAAAAGTTAATGGACACACAAATTATGCATATATTGAGCTGCACATTTTACAAATAATATGCATCATTATTTTTCTAGATGTGGTCATTTTTAACTTTTGTGTTAATTGCAAAAGTTTTTTCTTATACTGTAATTAAAATTTGTAGGAACCAAGATGTAATTGTAAATGGCAGCTCTATTTCTTGGTGATAATAGACCTTAGGGTCTAAACAATATGGAGGATACATGTAAAAATCACACATTTTTTCCACCTGTAAAGGTTAAGAAGTAGTGCTTTATTGCACTGTTCTTGCTTTCAGTAGCATCAACGTTTGAAACCCCACTTGCATTCATATCACTGTAGAAGAACACTTATGTTTCAGTACTTTCTGTACGGTATCAGATGATAAGGATCAGCCCATTCAAAACATATTTTCAGAAGCTAAAGAAAGATCTACTTACATTAGATCTGAACTCAACTCAGCTACTATGACTTCTACAAGAGGATTTTGATACCTTTGTTGGATATTGAAAAATGCAGTCATTTTATATTTTTAGAGAAACAAAGAGGGTAGTTAAAACATCTATTATGCTGAAAAACTGTTAACTTTGCAGAGATAACTTATTTCTGGAGTGTATGAATCATAAAAGAAGATACTATGTAATTTATCTGAGTAATCTCTACAGAAACTGAAATATCAATATTGTTAAAACTGACCCTCTAAACAGAAACATACATTACATGCATACATTACAATACTTTCATTGCAACAGATTTGTTAATGGTGTAGAGAGAATGTTCATTTAGAAAAGTGAACCTCCATTTTGAAAAATGCTTAGTGAATAAGATAAAGCTGTATTAACTTCAATCATCCTATGATATGCAAACAGAATCCTGTTTTTTTTTCCTCGCAAGTGATTGGGTAATCAAAATGAACTTAATATTGTCTTAGCTCTACCTTATTAAGTAAACTAAGTGAACAGTTTCTAAACCTTCAGTAAATCATCCCTAAATTATTATTACAAATTGAACCTAAAAATAATTTTGAAGTCAGTTTCACATTTTGCTTTCTTACTGTTTTCATGGTGGCATTGCGCATAGAAAACTGTAGATTCTTCCAGTAGTAACTAACTGTTTATCAGATTATTTTGAGCTGACATAGTTTATTAAAATAAAAGCAAACCCTGTTAATTGATTATATTATTAACATTAATTGGATCTCATTAACTCTTTAAGCTGGGAAAAAAAAATGTTTTTCTTTGTCTGCTGGGGCAAAATATATATCATGTTATTAGAACAGCGTGTGGGAGTATTTATAGTTTTATTTATACTCAAATTTATTCATTTTCTGCTTTGAAAATGTGTCAAATATAGAATAACTAATTAAACAGAATATTCTTATTATATGCTGAATTTCTTTTTTCATTATAATCTTTCCAGCAGCTTAAGCTCAGATAGAATCCACAGGACATAAATGAAATATAAGCTCTGTGAGTAGCAGCAAGGATACACTGATATATCACAGCCAATAAAGGAAAATACCAGTATGGATTGGTGCTGTGCTCTTTCTCCTGCATTAAAAATTGGATCAATACTGAGTCATGCCATTAAATTTTCAGTGAAAGTCATTTAATAAAATGTTATAATTTAAAACCAAACTCTAGGCAACCAACTAAGGACAGAGTTGAAATACATATAGACAAATTGTTACATATTTAACCATAGTTAACATAGTTAAAAAACACGGGTCCACCAGTTCAGCCTTCAGTGTGTGTGTGTATGCATGTGTGATTTATATTCTCTAACAATTCTCATAGCCTGGTATACTCTGCTTCTTGAGGGAGTTTTGCTCTAACAGTGAAGAACACTTTCCACAATCCAAGGTTAAACCTCCTTTCTTTAACGTTAAATGTTGGCCATGTGTCCTCTTGAAGGAGTAAACAGTTTATCAATGTTACTGAATTCACCTTTGATAGATTTGTACAAAGTAATCAAATCCCCTTTTAAGCACCTCTTCTCCAGAGTCAATAACAGTATTCTATATAACTGATCCTCATAGCTGAGTTCCGCCATCTCCCATAATAATTTTGTTGTCTTTAGCTGAACTCTTTCTAAGTTAACTGAGGACTCGTGACCAAAACAGAACTGCATATTCAAGATGAGGCCAAACCATTGTTTTGTAAAGGAGCAGAAATATTGAATGGAATTTATGTCCTTTTTAATGCATAGCAGTATTTTGCTAGCTGTCGTAGCTGTAGCTTGTTATTGCATGCTATTGCTAAGTCTGTGATCTACAAGTACCTGCAGATCATATTAAGGTTAATGTGTAATTTGTATGTGTATTTTGGGCACCCAAGTGCATCATTTTACATTCCTCAATATTGAACCTCATCTGCCTGGTAGCTGCCCAACACTATATTTTATTAGGCCTCCCTGTTATGGTGCTTCATCCTGTGCTGAAATTATTTCCCCACCTAATTTGGTATCATCCACAAACACTGAAATTGAACTCTTGATTCCAACCTCCTTTCAATAATAAACAAATTGAGTAGCATTGGACCCAAGACAGAAGCCTGGGGCACACCACTCACAACTTTAGACCACTCAGAGAATGAGTAATTTATCACTACTCTCTGGACCTTGTCATATAACCAGTTTCCTATCCATGATCATACAGCTTCATCAACTCCAGCAGACCTTATTTTATAGATGAAATGTTTAGGAGGCACAGTATTAAATGCATTAGCAAAATCTAGATAAACTACATTCACTGGACTTCCAATGTCCAATTGCTGACTTACATTCTCATAGAATGATAACAGGTTGGTCTGAGAAGAACTGTATTTTTACATCTATTCTGGTTGTCACTTGTGAAACCTTTATTACAGACAAGTTTCTGTAAGAATACCTCACCATTCCTTCAAATAAGTTACATTTTCTTAATGTTAGGTGAACTGTGGTTTCCTGGTATGCATTTCAATCCTTTTCTGTAAATTGGTACTACATCTGCACTACGCCAATCAGTTGGCACCATTCAAGTCAGTAAGGTTTCCTTAAAAATTAGAAAAGTGGCTTGGCTATAAGTAAGCTAAGTTTCTCAAGAGCTTGTGGATGTAAACTATTGGGACCTGGTGATTTGTTCACAATATGTTTCTCCAGTCTCTTTTCTACCTGATTTTCAATAAACTGCAGAGGTAGCTTTGGATAAAAAACTTTAATATTATTGACAAGACTATCAAACCTGTCTTTTTCATGCAAATATTTGGTCCCATTGAATGTTGTGCAGTAATGATCTCAGTTTATTAAAGTTAGCTTTTTTTTTACTTTTGGAGTTCTTTTCATACCAATTTGCTTCTCTTTCCTGTAACGTTTGGAAAGTGTAATTACATCATGATCAATATTGCCCAAGTTGTCTCAAATAAGCAAATCTGTAATGAGATCCATTGTATGAAATTAATAGAGCCAACTGAGCATTGTTCTTCACTATGTGTTCCATTAAATTATTCTGAATACATTTGAGAAATAGCAAGCCTTTGTTAACTGTCCAGTTCCATTTTCCCAATCAATATCAGGATAGGTATAATCATAACATTGCCCTGTTCCCAGCCATTTCAGTATGTGAAAGGAGTCGGGACACTTCCTCATCCTTTATGTTAGGGGGCTCTAACATGCTACCACAAGCAATTTACTATCACTCCACACTTATGGAGCTCTAGCCATAATGACTCTGCACCATCACAGTTCTTGTTAGTAATATCATCTTTCAAAGTCACTTTCAGATTGCACTGCACATACTAACATACTCATTCACCTCTTCTGCCAATTCTGTCCTTCCAAAAGAGAGTGTATCCCTCAGTTCTGTGAGCTGTCC